CATGGATTCCTGAAACTTAGATAATTCCGAGCCCTAAATATATTATGTTTCTTTTCTGTACATACATACCTGTGATAAAGTTTAATTTGTAAATTAGGCACAGTAAGAGATTAACAATACTAACAGAACAATTATAACAATATAATTTCGCAAAAGATTCATTCTTAGCAACCTCAGCATTCAAATTGTTTTCTTTCCTTATTGATTGAAGATCTTCACGTTTTCACTTAAAGGAAGCACTTTATGGCTTCTCTTTGGCTTTATTCAAAATGCCAGTATCATTATTCTTGTGCTTTGGGGCCATTATTAAGTAAAATAAGGGTTACTAGAACAGAAGCACTGAGATATTGATACTGCAAGAGTCAATCTCATAATAGAGCCAGGTACTAAGTGACTAAGGCAGGCAGCGCTGACAGCATGGAGATGCTGGACAAAGGGAGGAGTCACGGCCCAGGTGGGATGGCATGAGATTTCACTAAACTACTCAGAATGGCGCATGCAATTTAAAACTTACGAATTTTTTATTTCTGGAATTTTCCATTTATATTTTCAGACCGCAGTTCACTGTGGGTAACTGAAAACGTGGAAAGCGAAACTGTGGCTAAGGGGGACTCCTGTATCTGATAGGGTGGCAGGATGAAAGGCATGACTGGGACACCTAGAAGTGTTTGCTCAATCGCAGACAACAAGGAAAACTGGGAGGGGGAAAAAGGAACTTTCACAACCGTAACAACAAAGTCTGTGTTACAGTTAAGGTACTCTGTCACAGTCTCATTGTAGCTGACCTAAATTATTCAGAATACAAAATTCTGAATTTTTGGTATACAAAGTCATTATGATTACAAAATATTTCCCTGCATGAAAATCACATCCTCATTTAGTTTCTAAATGGACAAGTGCCCCTCTGATTACCTAGGTCTTTCATCAAAATGGCCTTGTAGTATTTTTTCTGCAATGCTGACATGCCGTGGTATATCACTACTTCTGTCTTCTTGGGAAGCTCTGTAGCTACCTCAGTTTTCACTCGTCTCAGCAGAAATGGCTGCAAGAGTCTGTGCAATTCACTGGCTGTATAAGAAAAAAATACAAGAAGTGTGGAACAAAAGTAGAACCAAGGTACTGAACTACTACAGAACACACAGCAATTTATTTTTGTTTCTCATTTTCATGTTAATCCTACTTTCTAGGCCAGTATGGTAATTTTTCATAGTTTTTCTTCCTTCACTGGGATCTCCTTCCCAACTCCTTCTGGAATCATTACTGGCCCTTAACCCAAGAACTAATAACATAACACTCAAAGAACTTGATTCTTACTAATAATAACATTTGCATGAAACCCTTGTTTTCACAGTAATTTTGCATTTAATCCTACTGATCAGCACAACAGTTTAGAAATGTAGGGCAAGTAATACTGTTCCCATTTTTATATTTGAGTTAAGTGAGGCTCAGGGAAATTAAGTAACTTATTCAAACTCGCACAGCTGGGATGTGAATTTCTCCAACATTCAGATTTGGTTCTTTCGACTTTGAATCCCTTGCCCCTTCCCCAGGTGTCTTCAAAATGTCAAAATAAAGGGAGCCCCAGGTGTCTTGAATTTCAGAAACCATCCTAAATTAGAATTACACTAAATGTAGGGTTGCCAGATACAGCAAATAAAAATATAGGTGCCCAGTTAAATTTGAATTTCATGTAAACAATGAATAACTTGAATACAAGTATGTCCCATGTAATATTTGACTATGTGTCCTGTATTTTACATCTGGGAACCCTAAACATGGGAGTAATCAGAGCAGGTTCCCCAGGTAATCTTCAGCCTGTGGTATGAAGATTTTGCTATGAGAAGCCCCTTGAACTCATACTTATGCAGTACATAAATACTGACTAGTTGGCAAGTTTTGAAAAATCATCCCAGGATTAATATAAGAGGGACAGAAAGATAATTCTACAAGGTAGA